TGGGGAGGGTATGTGCTATGGTGAGCACTGTGAATTGTGTAAGACTGATGAATCACAGACCTGTACCCCTGAAACAAATAATACATTATGTTAATTAAAAATAAATTGAAAAAAGAATCAAGTATTTAGTCTGCCTTTCCCATATGAACTGTAGCTCAGGTACAAATTATAAGAGAAAGCTTCTCTTTATGGGAATGTTCCTAATAAATAAATTAGGTAATAAATGAAGGAATGAAATGTATTAATATATTACAACCCTAATGACCTAATGATTCTAAATGATTACTATGGCTGCTAAGAAAATATACGACACCTCATACCTACTAGAGGTACACATACCACCATCTGTAAAGTATTTTTGCTCTCCCATTCCCAAAACAGAGAACACTGAGTATCATCAAGCCTCTAGAGCTGTAGCTACCAGTTTATAGGAAATACAGGTTAGAGGAGCATATTTATTGACATAAGGAATACAATGGGCAAAATCCAGACTTTGGGAAAACTCAATGACAAAGGATTTGCTTCAACAAATTGTAATGGGGGGGGAGAAATTGAATGGAGAACCAATGGATTAAAAGAATTTGAAGGCCTATCATCAAACTGCGATGTACACAGCTTATTAACATCTTGATTCAAACAACTTCTGAAATAACCAAAGAAATAGGAAAACACTGAAAAATTCTTGATACCAAATAATGTCATAAAATGCTCATACTTCAGATATAAAAATATTTATAAAAGAACTAATTTGAGGGGCGCCTGGGTGGCTCAGTCGTTAAGCATCTGCCTTCGGCTCAGGTCACGCTCCCAGGTTCCTGGGATTGAGCCCCATATTGGGCTTCCTGCTTCTCCCTCTCCCACTCCCCCTGCTTGTGTTCCCTCTCTCCTGTGTCTCTGTCAAATAAATAAATAAAATCTTAAAAAAAAAGAGAGAGAACTAATTGGAGATTAAAACAAAAATCCAGAATGGCAGCGAAGTTACAATGTAATTTAGGAGACCAATAATTCAGAATTAGCCCCTGGACTTTTGCTACTAATATTTTTAAGTCTTCATTTTTTTTTTTTTTTTTAAAGATTTTATTTATTCATGAGAGACAGAGAGAGAGAGAGAGAGGCAGAGGGAGAAGCAGGCACCCAAGGAAAGGGAGCCCGATGCGGGACTCGATCCCAGGACCCTGGGATCATGACCTGAGCCGAAGGCAGATACTTAACCATCTGAGCCATCCAGGCACCCTTTAAGTCTTCATTTAAACTAAGGATTGACTACTCATGCAAGGAACTAGAGTATCTAATATTTACTATAAACTTAAAACGTCAGACACTATGTTAAGCACTTTGTTACCATATTTAATCCTAATAATCCTATGAAGTTAGAACCTTCAACTGTCCTTCATTTACAGAGTTAACTGATGTTTATTCAAAGGCTAGCAAGGCTTTTTTTAAAAATACAATTACAAAATATTAGTTTATAAATATTCTTTAAAAAAAGCACTTGATTATATAGGAAAACCTTAATTTAAGGATATTTAGTAATTAAAGTGTTCTTTATTTTGTCCCTAAATAGGGGTTCTCTGGGCCCCCTACTGGGCCTACTGTATGGAAAGTTAATATAAAGATTACATAAGAGCTCCTAAAAGGTAAATTTTTACCTCCAACTAGATCCTTGAGTTGCAATTACCTTACTATAGACTGAATGTCTGTGTTCCTGCAAAATTCATGTTAAAACCAAATCCCCATGTGATGGTACTTGGAGGTAGGGCCTTTAGGAGGTGCATAGTGCTACTACCCTTCTAAGAGAGACCCCAGAGAACTCCTTTGACCCTTCTCTCAGGTGAGAAGCCCACTGTCTGTGAACCAAGATGCAGGTCCACACCAGACATTGAATCTGCCAGCTTCCTGGCCTCCAGAACTGTGAGAAATAAATTTCAGTTGTTTATAAGTCATTGTCCATGATATTTTGCTATAGCAGCCTGAATAGACTAAAGCACAACCTAATGTTAAGAAGGGTCACAATGCTCTTCAAAAGTATTTTCTGTCTACTTAAGAAACTACTTACAGCTTCCTCCTCCTTATCGACATTACTTGTTTGTGACAACTTAATATTTCCATTTCCTAGTTCTCCACTTGCAGAAAATTTCACTCCGTCTTTTGCACAGGAAATTACAACAGCATCTCCAATATGACTGAGATCTCGGCATATACGTGCAAATTCACCAGAAGGCATCTTTACTACACAGCTATACTCTTGTTCCTATTTAAAAAATAAAATAAAGTTCAATTGCTGGAAATTAAAGATTTGGCATTCTCATTTTCTGAAGACTCCGCATCTAGACAAGAATTCAGAATTTAAGATTTCCTGATTACTTTGAAGTATCACTCATTGTGTAATTTCCTAACATACTCTAACACTCAAAAAATAAATGTAGATATAAAACAAGTATGTCATAAG